TTTTTTTTTTTTTTTTTTTTTTTTTTTTTTTTTTTATCTAACAAAGTAGCTGTGAAATAAATTTGCTACAAGCTGAGAACAATTTTTTCAGACAAATAGCACCTGTGTATTTTTAATCATAAACACAGTATCTTGAATATCTTAGAACGAACAAAAGATTTAACTGATAAAAGCAAAGTTGGATGTGAAAGAACAATGAAAAACCGCTGTTTTGCCAAATGTTATTTTGAATTGTTAACAACAGTTTTTTTTTTCAATATTTGAGAGGAAGGTTGACAATCAGAAGGGAAAAAAAAACAAAAGTGTATTTAAACAACGGTTACAATGCAAAAGTAAAACTGTGGAAAAACATAAAGACCTCTTTTTTTATTTTTATCTTGTTACCCTTACAATTGATCTGTTTATTTTGGTATTTAACAACAGATGTTTCTGTGTGAACACTGAAATTGAATGCTGAACAGTACTGAAAAAGCAGTAAAAAAAAAAACAATTTAAGGTTGTTTACTCATCGTTGGATTTTGCATCTGCAGAACACGTAACATTGAATACCATAGCCCGTAAAATATTTTTTGTTCCCGTATACAAGAAGGATTTACCGCATTCACCGGTGGTGTTGATAACTGTCTGCAGATACGGTATGACAAATTGCAGCACTAAATCAATTTTGAAAAATTTTATTTTATACAAAACAATAAATTGCCATTCATTTAATTGATTCTTAAAATCTATTTTTTTTTTCATTTTTCTTCTCTTCTTTCTTACTTTCATATCTTCAAAGATAAAGAACTGCAAATATAAGTAGTGATTTGATTGTAGATATTTTCTTTCTATTTTAACACATCAAATTTACAGTTTAGATAAATTAAAAGAAAGGCAATCTACAATTGAGAATTACTAAAAATAAAATTTATTTTAACGTTAAGAAAATATTAATATTTATAACTGCTTATAGTTTAACAAACGTCAGCAGCATTGTAAAATTTTGTAAAGAACAGAAAAAATTTTTTTTGTATGAGTAATGAAAATTGTTGCTCGTGCTTAAAATTCTGGATGAGTTTTCAGACAGTCCTATCAACTACTTCAATGATAATCCATATACGGTCTATACACGTGAAGTTGGCTTAGTATCCTCATTTGACAATCAATTGGATATTGTTTTCCGAACATATGAAAATGGAATCTTTATATTTTCTATGCACGATGAAGGTGATCTGCTGGTTGTTCAAATTGTTGATGGCACCATTTATGTTATCTATGATTTTGGTAAATTTTATAAATATTTAATTTTTTTTTTTTCACGGCAAATTTTGTTTTGTCTTTTTGAACACTGTAGTTGTCGTTATGCAAAAACGAATTCAAATTTTGGTGGAACTGTCTTTCTTGTAGGCACTTTGTCACATTCTGTTCTTTCTGGAGGAGTTGCGCTGAATGATGGTGAATGGCATGAAATTCGATGGACCTATAACTATGATAAAGTCGAGCTGATCATTGATGGAGCACTGATGAATTCGACAACTCCATTAGGATATGCAAAACGGCTGGATCTTGATGACCAAGTCAGTGTTTAGTCGTTATTCTTATATTTATTCATTCTTCCTTTACATTTTTATTGTTGCTATTTCAAGAACTATTGCTATATGTCCTACTGTGTAATAAGTGGTTTAAATTTATATGAAAAAAATAGTATGGTTGATGAGAAACAATTGTGTTTGATCAAAAATTAAAAAAAAATATTTTCATAAACATTCATATTGGGTGGAAATAGCAGTCATTAAAAATTGATATGTTACACAGGAATTTTTATTTTTTTTTTTTTTTTGATGTTTTTAAAAGCGTTTTTATTGAGTGTTTAATTAGCAGAGGAACACTTTTGTGACTAACTGAGCAATCAAAGTCCACCTGTCTATCGATACTAAACAATCAAAGAAGTTCACATCATGCTGTGAATTCTTTTTTTAAAGTATAGAATTGCTTTTATTTCTCTAAAAATTAATTGAGCATTTTTTTTT